CTCACCTTGCTAACTCTCTTGTTTTCCTGCTCAGCCATATTGGTGCCATTACTTCCTGGGCCAGACATGTGCACTCCTCAGGCTTTTGTTCTTCCCATATTCTTCCCTCTATGCTAAGCTTTCTTCTCACAGATGTCTTCATGGCTGCCATCCTTCCTCTGAGGAATCCCCTCCTCAGCATCTTTCTTAGCATCACGGCCTACTCCCAATGCCCTTTCTCCCCTTGGCTGCCTTTGTTTTCTCTGTTCCACTAACATACTGTCTACTTACATAGTATGCCCTTGTTTGTCACCTGTCCATTCCCCTTTGGACATTAAACTCCACAAGCGCAGGGATTTTTGTCTGATTTTTATGTTAATGAAACACCAGAACCTTATGTACAAGATGGGCATTTACTTAGTAAATAAATAATAAAAATGAATGTATATAATATTATTTACTTGCTTCTCAGCTGGAAATATTCTCTCCCTTTGAACTTTTGAAGCATTTGCAACTTTTATTAAAAAAATATTTCCAAGGAGCCAGTGGCTCAAGCCTGTAATCCTAGCTACTTAGGAGGCTGAGATCAGAAAGATCGTGATCCGAGGCCAACCCTAGCAATTGGTTCTCCAGACTCCATCTCCAAAATAACCACAGCAAACTGGGTTGGAGGTGTGTCACAAGCAGTAGAATATCTGCTTTGCAAGTACAAAACCTTGAGTCCTCCCCCAAAACACTAAAGGACTGGAGGTATTGGGTCAAGTAGTAGAGTTCCTGCCTATCAAGTATGAATCCCTGAGTTCAGACCCCAGTATCACCATAAAAAAAAGTTAAGTATTTCTTTTTAAGTAAAAACTTAGTAGGGGAAATTTGTGTCTTAAGCATTCAATATTTGTTTTACAGCAAACACTAGACATGTACTTTATGATTGAAACATAATATATCCTTTAGATCATGAAATTCTAAATACCTTTTACCGTAATCCTGCTTATTGATTTTTCAAGATGATTTTTATAGTAATGGAGAAATTGAGTATGCTCTTTCTTAGTAATTCTGAAATATAGGTACTTAAATATGTTATCTAAGAAGTTGTACACGATTATAAAAAAAATCTGCTTTCATTCCTTTATGGTATAGCTTATAGATTTGTGAGGTGTAATGTGGCCATTAGCATTCATTTATATTCAAGGCTTTAAAAGGTTGCATTTTAAAGTCTTAAAATAAATTAACTCATAATGAATATTGATGAAAAACAGTATCTAATATACTGTGTGTGTAAATGAAGTGGTTGCTTAATTTAAAATGTTTTCTATACCAACTCTTATCAGGAGACCCACATGACTAACAGTATTAATGATTTGGGGGCCAATTTTGCTGTCTTCCAAATAGGCCATAATGCTTAAAAATGGCAACAAAGTTAATATGTGTGTATCTCAAAGTGTTTTTCTTCTGATGTTAAAAGGTATAAAGTAAACGTACTCTCTAGCTAAGTGATTGTAGGTGTTTCTCTATAAAGAACTTTATTATGTTTCATTACTAAAATAATTTTTGGTCTTCTAAAAAGCATTGTATATCTTTTAAATGCAGGTAAAACAGTGGTCCCAAATTACTTACACTTAGAACCCTTTTCTCATAGATCCTTTCTCCCTCTCCCTCTCTCTTTCTTGTAGTCTGTGGAATCCACTTTGGAAACTGCTGCCATAAAAAAAAAAAAAAGACTTTGAAGGATAAATCGTCCAATTCATTGTTTTGAAAATACTTGGTTTATTTTTCTTTCTGTTGTTTCTCTTTCAAGGATAATGGGAATTACTATTATTTTTATTTATTATGAATAAATCTTCTTTTTCATTTCCACATTTCTTTTTCTTAGTATGGGAGAGCATACTCAAGATTTACTGAGGAAGTTAGTGAGCCTTCAAATGGGAAAAGCAGCTTTGAACCTGTCAGCTGATATCAGATCCTTTTCAGTCAGGTCCTTTTTAGAGTCACATTGCCTCATGCGAAGATAGCCAATATTCCAGGGGGCCCGCCCTTGATTTTTCTCATGTGTCTTGTAAGACATGATCACTGGCAGAGAGCACAGGTATTAAAGAGTAGGACAAAATACTTTCTAGACTTTGAAAGATTATTGTAAATTAAAGTCCATGAAAAACTAACTAAGATAGAGATCATTACTTTTGACATCTATCGGGGAGTGCTGTTGGGATCAGCGGAGGGAGAAAGTCCAGGGCATATCTCAATAACAACCTCAAGTGACCCAGTGGCAAGCTTTAGATCTGTGGTGGCTCCTCAAAGTTGTTCCAAATTGGGGTGAAGAGACAGGTCATTAATAGCTCTTCATCTGCCAGTTATTGAAAGGGCTGCCCTGGAAACATGCATGACCTTGAGTTAGGCAGCTCTAGTAAATTAAGGAACTCCAAAGAGAGTTAAATACTGATGGCTGTCTGCTACCAGCACTTGGAGGAGCTGCAGGAATAAGGTTTTCATTTCTGAAAGTTATGGGCAAGGGTTCCTCAGAAGTATACCAATGAGGCATTGTTTTTTGGCTCCTAACAACAAAGACTTAATAATGTTTAACACATAAGTGTTGAATTTTCTCACGTAGGGAGAAGTTTGAAGATGCTGTTGTTGTGTTTTTTTCTCTTATTCTTAATATTTCCTATGCCTTTAGGGTGGGTGCTAGATGTCCATCCAACATGGTTACATTCTAGGCAGCAAAGATTCCCTGAAGTTCCACCCAATGACTTCCACTTGTATAACATACTTGTAGCAGGCACAGGGCCTGTAGTTCTGTCACAAAGGAATAATAGATTTTGAGGTTGACAGCTACTAGTTTTTACACACACACACACACACACACACACACACACACACACACACACACTATCATCTATCTATGTAGGTAGGTAGGCAAAAAAAATGCAAAACTATCAGAATTTGTTGAAGCAGGCTGGGGTGGGTGACGGGTAGAGGAGGGTGAGGATATGAGTCTGTCAAGAAAACGCTAGATGCTGGGTGCCAGTGGCTCATGATTGTAAACCTAGCTACTTGGGAGGCAGAGATTGGGAGGATTACAATTCAAAGCCAGATGGAGCAAATAATTCTTGAGACCCTATCTTGAAAATACCCAACACAAAAAAAGGGCTGGTGGAGTGGCTCAAGTGGTAGAGTACCTGCTCTCAGGCTTGAGGTCCTGAGTTCAAACCACAGTACAACCACACACAAACAAAAAAAGAACAGGCTAGATCTTAGAAAACCAGTCAGCTGGCTATAAGAGTTAAAGATTTTGACAACAGCAATGAAAGAACACAGACAGAAAGTTAGGAGGAATTTAGAGGGTGACCTTAAGGGCCCAGTGAGGTTTTTAGATAAACCACTGTTTTCTTACGAGGGAGGAACCTTACCCCTCCAAAAAACAAATCCAGAAGCAAGTGGACCCCCAAAGTCATGTGAGACAGAAGGTTTTACCGATGATCTTAGTGACATTTCAAGGCCATGAGTTTTGTTTAAAAGTTTCACAGCTGCTTATTTTAATCCTCTGAAATATAATAGCATAAGAAAAGTTATGTGAAATAACAAGAATGTTCTGCTATGCAAAGCAGTGTAATCTCATGTAGAACTAAAAGTTCATGCCCACTTTCCAAAATCTGCTTTGAAACCCTTTTCCTATAATCACAGTACTAAACAATTATAACTGAAACCTGTGATTTAACACCAGTGGGAGGATGGGCCTTTCTACTATTTTTTTCCACTCTGCAGATTATTGTAACAAAGGGGCTTGAGGCAGCATGTGCACGGTTAAAGCTTGGCTTATTGATCAGACCACTTGGATCCAAAGCCCAGTCTAAGTGATCTTGGGCAAGATAACTTGAGCCAGTAGTTTTCAAACAGGGAACCCATAAGAGACATTGTTTACAATCTCTGGAGACATGTTTGGTTGTCACAACAGCGTGGAGGTTGCTTCTGGTATCTAATTATAGTAAAGGCTTTAAAATATCTTGTAATCCGAGGAATAGTCTATAGCAAAGAACTATCTGGCCCAAAATGTTAACACAGAGCAACATTTTAGCCTTTCTGAGCCTCCTTTCTTCATCCAAGTATTAGTGTTCATAGTAACACCTATTTAATCATTTTCATGATGGTTAAATGAGATAATACTCTTAAAACACTTAACAAGTACCCAGCACATAAATACTCTGTTAGCATAAGTTGTCATCATTACCGTCATTATCATGAGGTAATGATCTGGATACTTTTTGTCTTCCTTTTTGGATATGAATTTAAACTAAAAACTGCCAACTACTTTTAACCATGAAACCAAGAAATCTATTTTTGCCTCTTTCCTTCATCTGATGAAAAATTTTCAAAGAACAAAGAAAATGCGGAATGGAATAGAAGCCCTTCTTGTCGAAAAAGACAATGAATAATTAGGAGACTGCTATACTTTAAGTTCTAAGAAAATAAAGCTCAGTTCTATGCTTATACATAGTTTTCTTTTTCACATTGACATTGATATCTTTTCTTTGTTTATTTTTTGAGATAGGTCTCAGTTTGTTGCTGAGGCTGGCCTCAAACTGTCAATCTCAAGGTCTTCCTGTCTTAGCCCACTGAGTGTTGGGATTACAGGCATTGATGTCTTTTTTTTTTTCTGTCTCTTTTTCTCTGTTTCTTTTACACCTTACTGCCAAGTTATACCTTCTTTCCTCTCCACATCTTTTGGAGTTCCAACTGTTTCATTCTTCTCTTGATATAATAGACTTGGAAACCATTAAGCTAGCAGAGAGCATTGACCAGGAGAAAGCATCGGTGTGTTTGAAAGTAAAGTGATGTCACCAGTGTGGACTACTCGTGACATAACCAAATGGAGTTTCTGAAATGCTTTCTAAATTTTCATATTTATATATTTTAGCCTTGTAATTCTTCTAAGGAATACTGGAGTAAATCCCAAAATTCTAAATATACTTAGTAACCATAAATTCATTCATATTGCAATGACATTAATAATTATTTTATTTTTTAAGGCAAATGCAATAGGCCGAAGTGCTAAAACTGTTCGAGAATTTCTGGAAAAGAATTACACAGAAGATGCTATAACAAATGACAATGAAGCCATAAAACTAGCAATAAGAGCTCTGCTAGAAGTAAGTGTCTAATAAAGCACATTCAGAAAAGCATAGGCTTTTTTCTCATCCACTTTGTTTATTAAACACAAAATTGGCGGATGTAGGGTGTTTATTTGTTTTGTGGTGCTAGGGACCAACTCTAGGGTTTCATGCATGCTAGGCTATCACTTAGCAGCTTATCACTCAAACCAGCTGAAATGTTCTGATGAATACTTGTTCTACACTAGGTTGTCCAGTCTGGTGGAAAAAACATTGAACTGGCTATAATAAGAAGAAACCAACCTTTGAAGGTAAGTCATTAACCAAAGAGGAAAAAATATAGCATATTGTGATAAAAGTTAAAATATTGTTAATATTAGAATGAGGATTTGTACTTTGTGAGATCCATTTGCACCCATTGGCACTGTGAAACTTGTTTTGCTTCTGTAGGCTAAGAGTCACTAATTTGTATGTGCTTATTGCAAGCAGTTGTCAATGCCTGTCTCTTTGTGAAGACTTAGATATGCTGAGATGTCTATATAGGTCTACCCATTTAAGACATGTTTCTGTGAGTAGGAACTCCTACTCTGTATGGAGTCAGTCTAGCATATTTCCTATGGAAATACATTGTTGACACCACACACAGAGCAGTTACGCTTCCTGTCTTTGAGATCTTCCTTCTTTTCGATCTTTCAAATGAAGATATGCTTCCAGCCAGGGCTTCTTTCTGGTGTCTGATATACTGTTATCCTTCATTGTATCAAAGAATCTCCACCACTTTTTGACTATCTGCTGTTGTTCCTCCCGACCCTCCACCTCTACTCTCACCCCTGTGCGTTAAGGGCAACACATGCTAACTAATTTTTTAGGTGTCTTACCTATCCTCACACCTCCCTTGTGTGCTCTCGCTTTTATCATGTGCTCAAAGTCCAGTTCCCTTGTTGTGTTTGCCCTTGGTCTAATGTCCTCATATGAGGGAGAACATATGATTTTTGGTCTTTTGGGCCAGGCTAACCTCACTCAGAATGATGTTCTCCAATTCCATCCATTTACCAGTGAATGATAACATTTCATTCTTCTTCATGGCTGCATAAAATTCCATTGTGTATAGATACCACATTTTCTTGATCCATTCATCAGTAGTGGGGCATCTTGGCTGTTTCCATAACTTGGCTATTGTGAATAGTGCTGCAATAAACATGGGTGTGCAGGTGCCTCTGGAGTAACCTGTGTCACAGTCTTTTGGGTATTCCCCAAGAGTGCAAATACAGATTTTCTGACCTGTCCTGTGAGTGAAATGGAAAGAAATCTGGAGTTGAAACAGGAGTCAGAGACTAATTTTTCATCCCTCTTCAATTTCTAGCCAAATAACTTCATGAGTAGCAGCTTCCTTTTATGCAAATCTGGTGGTGAACTAATAGCTAAAATCCCTTAATTCTCTAACATCTTTAAAATTTTGGTTTCTCACATGGTTCATTATTCTTTTACTAGTCTTCTAGATACCTTTTTTCCCTATTTAAGATCATTAAATTCAGGTTCCCTATATAAATTTCTTAACTTCAATAGTCTTATAGTAGCAATCATGTGATCTTGGATCCAATTGTGAGAGGTGCAATAGAAATCAAAAATAGCATTGCGATTTCTTAAAAAATACAAACTTTTTTTAGTGAAGGAGTCATAAAGCAGTGCAAACCTTTACCCAGCTCTTTCGACTATTGTATAAACTGATAAAATAGATAAACCTATCACAGTAGGGTGAGGTAGAAGGAGGGCAGTGATGAGTTACTTGCTCATTAAAATGTTTTCAGAGTTCCATGCAGATATAGGATGTATCACCTTTTGCACTGGTTTCTTTTATAGTACAATGATAGTGGAAATGTTAGCGATCTTATTTTGCCCACAATTATTACAAGTGTGTTGCTTTTGAACCTTTTGAAACATTTCATTGTAAATTTAAAGTTATAAAATGCAAAGTTATAAATAGAAAATATTTAGATATTTACCTCCTTGAAATCTACTCTTTAAATTTTTTTCTATTTTTCAGATGTTTAGTGCCAAAGAAATTGAATTACAAGTAAATGAAATAGAAAAGGAAAAGGAAGAAGCAGAGAAGAAAAAATCAAAGAAAACCACCTAATTTTTACGATGAGCACTGGAAGCTTTTAATGTTTTGTTGTATTGTTTGGAATTAGTGAAGTTTAGAGAAAATAAGTTAGTTTGCACATTACATTTAGATCTTACCTGTGCAGCAGTTGAGAATGTAAGTCAGTTGCATAATCTAACATAGGTTAATGTAAAGATTTGCTTTGAAAGCATATTCCTTAACCTGTCCACTATGTTTCTTTCCTTAATATAAGAAAAAGTAATTAAGAAAAAAATACTAATTTAAAAAAATTAGTCAGGTTATGAAATTTAAATATGACTGTTAATTGGCTAGCTATTCCAAAATAAACTGAATATAATACGATATGAGTTGAATTTCCTAATGAGTGATAAAAACAGCCATGTGTTGGTGAACTATCAAAATTTTGTCACTCAGAAGTGCACATGAGACTCACTGTCCCATGCCACATTGTTCCTGCCACTTCATGTATTAAGAGGCATTGGGCCACTTGGCTTAGTGGGACACTCCCCCACCAAGACCCACCACAACCCTGATGGTACTCAGGGGCAAGTCCACACCACTGGCTACTGTTACAGCTGTTGGAAGAAGAGGTTTCCATCCACCTTACGATGTTGCAAGAAGTAGTATTCTATTTTGGAAGTAGTAGCATTCCACGGTGTGGATGTACCAGTTTGACTGCTCACACAGTTAAGTATACTGGGCATTTCAAAAGGTTGTGGACTAGTACCACACACTCTGATCACTAGCATCTCCTGGAAATACATTGGGAATGGCTGGGGAACAGCTACCCTTTAGGTGAGCGCAAAAGAAAATAAGGAAAGTCAGAAACACTCAGACTGCTTAAGCCAGGTAGCTCCCAGCCAAAGTAGCTAGAAAAAGAAAAGTTAGTCAGCAGAGTTTGTGATTTTGCATTGCTGCCCTTTCCCTTGCCATTCTTAAAGGACTAGAAATCTGTCCTCCCTTTTAAAAATTTTGTTTTAATTTTTATTTTACTTTTTCTTCTTTCTTGCATTTGTTTCATTATTTGCTTTTGTAGACACTTTTTTGTGGGGGTTAAATACTTTTTTATTGCTAGAATTCATTTCATCTTTTTGATCTTTTAAAATCACATTTCTTATTATTCATTCATTTATTCATATGTGTATACATTGTTTGGGCCATCTCTCCCCCCTGCCCTCTGCCCCCTCCTCCCCACCCCGCTCACTTTCAGGCAGAACTATTCTGCCCTCTTGTCCAGTTATGTTGAAGACAAAACATAAGAGGTAAAAAGAAAGAAACAGCATTTTTGCTAGCTTGAGATAAAGATAGCTATACAGAGAGATTACTAGCATTGCTTCAGGCACATATGTATTGCAACCTGAATTGGTTCATCTCTGTCAGACTTCTTCACTACTTCCTTGTCCCCTTCCCATAGTGGCCTGTGCCAGTTTAAGATTACTTTATTTGCTCCTCTACAGTGGGCACATCAAACACTTTCAAGTTTTAGGTTTCCTTCTCTTTCCCTATTCCTCCTGTACATGTTCTCCCCTTAGCTTATGACCCATGTCCAAATAATATTACTGCATTTGTTTTAGGTCTAAAGTCTGCATATGAGGGAGAACATGTGATTTTTGGCCTTATGAGCCTGGCTAACTTCACTTAAGATGATATTCTCCAGTTCCATCCATTTACTTGCAAATGACAAAATTTCATTCTCCTTTGTGGCTGAGTAAAATTCCATTGTGTATAAATACCACATTTTCTTAATCCATTTGTTGGTAGTGGGGCATCTTGGCTGTTTCCATAACTTGGCTATTGTGAATAGTGCTGCAATAAACATTGGTGTGCAGGTGCCTTTGGAATAACCTGAGTCACATTCCTTTGGGTATATCCCCCAGGAGTGATATTGCTGGATCATATAGCAGATCTATGTCTAGTTTTTTAAGACGCCTCCATATTGTTTTTCAAAGTGGTTGTACTAGCTTACATTCCCACCAGCAGTGTATGAGGGTTCCTTTTCCCCTACATCCTAGCCAGCATTTGTTGTTGGTGGTGTTTTTGATGATAGCTATTCTAACAGAAGTGGGGTGGAATCTTAGTGTGGTTTTGATTTTCATTTCCTTTATGGCCAGGAATGGTGAGCATTTTCCCATGTGTTTTTTGGCCAGTTAGATTTCTTCCTTTGAAAAAGTTCTCTTTCATTCAGTTGCCCCTTCCTTATGGGTTGATTGATTTTGGGGGAGTTTAGTTTTTTGAGCTCTCTGTATATTCTGGTTATCAGTCCTTTGTCCGATGTACAGCCAGCGAATATTTTCTCCCACTCTGTGGATGATCACTTCAGTTTAAGAGACCATTTCTTTTGTTGTGTAGAAGGTTTTTAATTTCATATGGTCCCATTTGTCCATCCTTTCTCTTAGTTGCTGAGGTGCTGGAGTTATACTGAGGATGTCTTTGCCTATACCTGATGCTTCCAGAGTATTCCCTGCTCTTTCCTGTACTAACTTCAGAGTTTTGGGTCAGATATTAAGGTACTTAATCCACTTCAAGTTGATACTAATACAGGGTGATAGGCATGGATCTAGTTTCAGTTTTCTGCAAGCAGATAACCACTTTTCCTAGCAATATTTGTTGAAGAGTTTTATCTATTCTCCATCATATACTTTTGGTGCCTTTGTCAAAAATAAGGTGGGCATAGCTGTGTGGATTCATATCCAGGTCCTCTATTCTGTTCCACTGGTCTTCATATCTGTTTTTGTGCCAGTACCATGCTGTTTTTATTGCTATGTCTCTGTAATATAGTTTTAAGTCTGGTATTGTGATACCTCCAGCATCGCTCTTTTTGCTGAGTATTCCCTTGGCTATTTGTGGTCTCTTGTGTTTCCAAATGAACTTTGGGTAGATTTTTCAATCTCTGTGATAAATATCATTGGGATATTGATGGGAGTTGCATTGAACATGTAGATTGCTTTTGGTAGTATAGCCATTTTTACATGTTGGTTCTACCAATCCATGAACATGGGAGATCTCTCCACTTTCTATAGTCTTCCTCAATCTCTTTCTTCAGTGGTTTGTAGTTCTCCTTGTAGAGGTCATTCACATCCTTTGTTAAGTTTACTCCTAGGTATTTGATTTTTTTGAGGCTATTGTAAATGGAATTGTTTTCATATATTCTTTCTCAATTTGTTCATTGTTGGAGTGTAGAAAGGTTACTGATTTTCCTAAGTTGATTTTGTATCCTGCTACATTGCTGAAGCTGTTTATGGTTGTGTAGGAGTTTTTGGGTAGAGTTTTTTGGGTCTTTGAGGTATAGGATCATGTCATCTGCAAATAGGGATATTTTGAGAGTTTCTTTAGCTATTTGTATTCCTTTTATTACTTCTTGTTGCCTTATTGCTCCAAGTAGGAATTCCAGGACTATGTTGAATAGGAATGGGGAAAGTGGGCACCCTTGTCTCATTCCTGATTTTAGGGGAAATGGTTTCAGTTTTTCTTCATTAAGTATGATGTTGGCTGTAGGTTTGTCAAATACAGCCTTAATAATGTTGAGGTACATTCCTTCTATTCCTAGTTTTCTTAAAGCTTTTATCATGAAGTGGTATTGATTCTTATCAAAGGGTTTTTCTGCATCTATTCAGATGACTGAGTGGTTTTTGTCTTTGTTTCTTGTGAGGAGTGGATTATGAGAAGCTGTGTCAAAAAATCTGCAGCCTGAGTTTGGCATGGCCCCAGCCACAGAAGAGGGCAAGGGCAAAATGCAGCATAGCTGTTCTTCCTAAGATGTTTAGAGAAGCAATAACAATTTCTCCTGTTACAATGTCATGCCCCTCCCCAGAACTGTTGCTCCACTTCCTTGTTTGTGACAGTATATAAAAGACTCACTGAAGGAGGATGCTGGGGATTGATTGGCTGGCTGTTGACTGTTTGCAAGGTGTGGCTGCTGCAGGTGCTGCTGCTGTTGTGTGTCTGTGAGTCTTGAGAACTGAGACTTTAGGAGTTATTCTAGAGATTAGAGGAAACATGGGACAGTGCAAGTCTGAGGACCAAGACTTTAAGAGAGACTAAAGAAAACATGGGACAGTGCAAGTCTAAGGACTGAGATTTTAAAGAATAGAAAAGAAGAAAGGCTTTAAAGAATAGAAAAGAAGTAAGGTTTTGAAGAAAAGAGAAAAGGAGAAAGGTTTTAAAATGTGTTAGGCAGTTTTCCGTACCTTTCTATTTCATGGAACAGTTTAAGGAGGGTTGGAATCAGTTGTTCTTTAAAGGTCTGATAGAATTCAGCAGAGAATCCATCAGGTCCTGGACTTTTCTTTTTGGGGAGACTCTTGATTGCTGCTTCAATTTCATTTTGTGTTATAGATCTAGTCAGGTGATTAATATCCTCGGTTCAGTTTTGGATGATCATATGTATCTAGAAATCTGTCCATTTCTTCAAGATTTTCAAATTTATTTGAATATAGGTTCTCAAAGCAGTCTCTTATGATTTCCTGGACTTCCATGGTGTTTGTTGTTATCTCCCCTTTTGCATTCTTGATTCTACTAATTTGGGTTTTTTCTCTCCTCATTTTAGTCAGGTTGCCAGGGGTCTGTCGATCTTGTTTATTTTTTCAAAGAACCAACTTTTTGTTTCATTAATTCTTTGTATGGTTTTTTTGGTTTCTATTTCATTGATTTCAGCTCTTATTTTTATTATTTCTCTCCTTCTATTTGTTTTGGGATTTGCTTGTTCTTGTTTTTCTAGGAGTTTGAGATGTATCATTAGGTCATTGATTTGGGGATCTTTCAGTCTTTTTAATATATGCACTCATGGCTATAAACTTTCCTCTCAGGACTGCCTTTGCTGTGTCCCATAAGTTCCGGTAAGTTGTGTTTTCATTTTCATTGACTTCCAGGAACCTTTTAATTTCCTCTTTTATTTCATCCATGACCCATTGCTCATTAAGCAATGAGTTATTCAGTTTCCAGCTGTTTGCATGTTTTTTGTCTTTACTTTTGTTGTTGAGTTCTAGTTTTATTGCATTGTGATCAGATAGAATGCACGGTATAATTTCTATTTTCTTATATTTGCTGAGGCTTGCTTTGTGCCCTAGGACATGATCTATTTTGGAGAAGGTTCCATGGGCTGCTGAGAAGAATGTATATTGTGTAGAAGTTGGATGAAATGTTCTGTAGACATCAACTAGGTCCATTTGTTCTATGGTATGTTTTAGACGTAGGATTTCTTT